TGGAAAGAGTGCTTATATATTCAGGTCCATTATTGTGTACAAGCTAAGGGCCAGATTCTACCACCCTTACTCACACTGAGTATCTTACTCTACCTGTATTGTAGTCCCATTAAGACCAATGAGACTACTTGCAGACTAAGGCCACAGGCCTGCAGACTTACACATGTGCTAGACTTTACCACCATGAGTGGTTCCATTGAAATCAATGGAGCAACTCAGAGTAGTAAAGTTAAACACATGCATAAATCTTTACAGGACTTGGTAATAAATGGAATATGGGTGGCAGAATAGGGCCCTGAGTTATTATTTATACAATGCTGTAGATGTATGGTATTTTACAGAAAGGTAAGTCCCTACCCGAAGAGCTCATAGTGTCATTAATAAACACCCTTTTCTGAAAATCTGTAAATGCAGGATAGAATAGCTCAACAGAATTTGAAGGTCCATGAAAAGAGCACATTTTCATCACGAGCAAAGTCTCGAGACTCTGTGAAAAAGATGGACTCAGTCATTGAAAGAGAGACCCGGGCTACAATAGATAAAGGGTATATTACTTCTGGTCCCAACTGGGCTCTTACTTTTGCAAAATGTGAGTACGCTCTTGTAGCTTATATTTTGTTATACACATGTCAGAGTTGCTTACCTTGACATTGATTTTCATCTATCATACAACTGAATCTGTCATTTAGGACCAGATTCTGTAACTGGATCCCTGTAACTGGACCCCTGCACCTGCATAGAACCCCATTGATTTCAGTGGAGCTCCATATAGGCAAAGGGATTTGGTTACAGGATCTGACTGTTTTTTTGAAGAGAATGCAAATGTTTGCATCCCCATCTCACCACCACCACAGTCTGTTACTAATACAATGGTGCCCAAACTCCCCCCCGCCCCCTTACCAGTAACGGAATCTGTTTGTGTCCCCCCCACCCTTCCATTTCTGCACAGCCCTGGCTTCCTCAGCAGAGGAGCTTGGGCTGAAGGCAGATCTGGGGGCTGAACTGGGGATGGGGGTTGAGCTGGGGCTAGAGGCGGAGCTGGCCTGGAGGCAGAGAGGGAATGAGGGCAGAGCTGGGCTGGGGGCGGAGCAGGGGGCAGAGTGGAGCTGGGCTGGGGGCAGAGCGGGGCTGGGTGGCACTCCCTCCCCATCCCCTTTGGGAGGTGACCTGGGCCCTGCCACATCCCCCCGTCCAATGTTCCTCTGTGCCCCTTGGGGGGGCATGCCCCACAGTTTGGGGACCACTGTACTAAGAATTAGTCTGCTGCAAAAAGCTGTTCC